TTAATTCTTAATCAAATGATTATACAAAATACTATTATACACGGAAGCAAATGGAGCTCGGTAGCTAACTGAAATTCGTCCGTTGTTAATGTTTAGGGCCTCCACTGATAATGATCTTCCATGAGATGACTAATAATTCATACAAACATTTTCTGTCCGTCATACCTTCTCTTAGTTTAGCAAATGGATTATGAAACGAAAACCAGTTCTTTCAGAATTTTCTTTTTTTGTTGAAAGAATTTCCGAGACGCATCAACAACAACAACAACAACAACAACCATTGTTATTTTATTTGTTGTTGAAACTGTTCTTGGGACAAATTTCACATCCGATTCAACTTACTAATATGGGATAATTTGATGTTTAAAGTTCAACTGATAGTACAACTGGAAGTACAAATCTCTGGGGATGCAGTTGACTCGAGTTTTGTTTTCATTCGAGCTTGGCTCGTGACACGAATACACACATACAGTTACACCGACATATTCTATTTTTCTCTCACTTATTCATGTGAGGATATAATCCGACGGTGTACATATTCAAACCAGCTGTGTGCTTGCACTTATGCGGGTAAATAATCCGAACAAGGATTTACATGCAAGAGAGAGATTTCTTCATAGCGGCAGATCAAGTAATGACAAACTGCCGGGAAACAGAAGCTGCCCGAGAAGAAGTATTTCGCCTATGGTGTCTATGTCAGTCACGTATTGTATTGTTGTGTATGGCTTTTGCAAGCACGGAATTCTACATTTCCGCCCGATCAAAGCCATCCATACACGCCAACCGTCATAATGAAGACATTCAACGACGAGAAAATATTCTCAGACACGAGGACATTTCACAATCCAAGGTTACGACAGAGTTCACTTATTACCCTCTATTTGTGAGTAAGCGTACAAGATAGGGTATAGTAGAATTTAGGTTAGCGCTAATTCGAGATGAAACTCGGTGGAATCGGAAGCGTGTGGAGGGATTGGAACGACAACATGTCAGTTTTTGCATGCAATGGGTGGTCAGGATCTGTGAGTATCCTGTCCACAAATTTCTCACAGGAAGTTATATGATGCCCTGACAGCTTTACAGCTAACTCATACACAGAAATAGAAGGAACGCGGCTAATAATAATTAACTATTAAAAATTGCCGACATCTTCCTTTTACTTCCTAACGACATGCCCCTAGAAGGTACAGAGGGCCGGGTAACGATCGTTGCCAAATACGGGCAGGATGTTTTTCTCTCTTTCCCTCACTTCTCTTGAGGATATGCATCTACTTTTCAAAACAAAACTTACTATCCTGTTCCACGAGCCAATACATCATGAAAAAGTGGACACCAGATTAACCAATCTGCTACACAATACTGTGATCTGTTAGCTATACCATTTTGGCTCAACCGTTCCAGTTGCGGACGTGTATTAGTGATAATCAGTTATGTGCTTTTGTTTATCGAGGGTTGTGATAAGATTTAAAAATATGCATCATGAACTGTGATCAATTTCGTGGGACCTTACACTGTGAAGGCAGCGAGGAGTAAATGGAAAAGTAATGTACCCCTGAGGCATTGTCATTAGTGTATACGTGTGTACACTGTCAGTAAAACGCCGTACGAGCGGTAAACAATAATATCGTACACACACAACAGGCAAATAGTTTTTATCTGACCATCGGAAACAAATAACACTACACAGATACGCACACACTCGTGTGCTATCTAGGCGGTTTGGTGTATTTTTTGTTTGTTGTTTTCGAGGAGGAACGTCGATATGCATTGGGAAAAATGTTCTACTTACCACATTTCACAGACGATGGATCACATTTTGTTTGAGACCCAAGCAAATTTGAAATGAGGAATGATTTGGTCGCTCGTGGATCAGGTAGCTCGGTCCCTCGGGTAAGATCACGGTCCTCTCTCGCATAATTGTCTTCTTCCGGGTTGTGTGTTCTGGTTTCAGCATTCATTTCACAATCGGATTCTGAATTGTTGGTTGTTTGTTCAGCGGACTTTGTGGTGATAGTTGCACCGCGTGATGAGATCAGATGCGTAGTCGAATGTGCTGTGGAACCACTGACCAAATTGGACCATTGAACCATAGCTCGTGAAGCGTGCAACTTGGTCGGACTGGAATCCCGTTTTAGGCGCGTGTTGTTACTGCTGTTGTTGTTGTTGTTCGTATCCGGAACGAGGCAATGTGATTCTGTGTGGGACGGAAATGAAACGATCGTTGTCATTTGGACGTGCAGGAAGGTATGCAAACAATCGGAGAATGAACTGACAATTTCAATTAGACAATTAAATCGCTCATTCCCAATCGCGAATCGGTGTGAACCAATCACGTCCCGATCGCCTGTCACCGTTCCCTGCGGTGTCGATTTCAACAGCCAATACCGGTGGAGTAGTAGGAGTAGGTGACCGCGGTGTCCGATTGTCAGACCGCGCAGATTGCTAAACGCGTGAATTGTGGTCGGACGAAGAGGAGGGTGTGTGGACAAAACGGGTGTGTATGCGCATCAATGCGTGTCTGTGGACGCACACACACACACGGGATTGTTTTGGCGGTTCACAATGTCGCGGGCCGTTCCGGTCGTATAGAAAAATCATTCTATCCCCCAAATTCACTCCCCTCCCGACACCTTAGCCTCTACCGAATGTGTTCATGTATGTGTATGCCTATGACCAATTGGGATTCACATGAACATTATTATGTGATGATGATGACGATAGTGGTGGTGGGTTTGACTAAACCTATAGTTCTGATTGGTTCTTTTTTATACCACTCTGATCCGTACATCGGAGACAAATACAACCGCGAGAATTCGCAAATGCTACACTACTACCCTGATTTGCGTGTGTGTGTGTGTGTTTGTACGTACCCGTGGAGAGCAAGCGACAGAAATATACACACGGACAATTGGGTAACTAGCCTTGCATTTGTTTCATTTGTTTCGGATGGAAGTGACGATTTGCTGCATTCGATGCAAATACGAAATAGAGTTGTTTTTTTTCACGAAAGCCTGAAAGCTCATTATTCTATTGTTGAACTCATTTCATTTCCTATGGAGAAATGATTCATATTTTTCACGCTTGTTCAGTGATGAATCGAGCATTGTATCAAGCAAAGGTTTATTTGCATCGATCACCAACACCAAACAAGCATGTCAATACGGTTCACTATGCTGGTCTGGTCTGTCCACCTCTACCATGTTCAGGGAATGGTCCACAAAAGATTGTTGCCTTCATAACAAACATAAAGAATAATTAAAAGGTTGATCTGATCAATACAAAGACGACTGACTGAATGGACAGTCGACACACACACATACGCCCGCGCGTCCTTCCACTGTACTCGGCAAGTAACAAACTCTTCCTGTGAGATGAAATTCGTCATGTATATAGAAAAATGAAGCGTGAACTGAAAAGCTAGGAAGCACTGGACAGCTGTTTCGAATCCAAACCAACTAGGGATCGAACCCGGGACCCCATGGACAGAACGCAAGCATGCTGCCCACTCGGTCACCGGGCAGCTGATCAGACCGCTTTTTATTTTCCATTTACACGATATAGTATAGTTCATCTTTATGAGCTTGTTACAGACGCACAGATCTCGCTCATCTCAGCACTAGTCTCCGGGGGGTTATGACTCGGTTGGAAACACTCGCAACCTGATCACTTGTTTCATGTTTTGTCGATTTTCGCGCATTGAAGTGCACGGCCCAGTCAGTATGCGGTTGTTCTGTCTCCGTGTGACAATGAGAATGGGACTAAACAGTCAGTTAAAATATTGAGCTGCCCGATTTTGTTTGCTTGAAAATAGAAGAAGGTTGAATGAGAAAGAGTACTCGACCATTCTCCGTGAGGATTTAAACATCCATATGTAACAAGTTTTTAAGTCACCGATTATTTACCGCTTGTATCAGGAGTAACTGAAATGCATTGCGGACCAGAACACCGAGCGAAACCGATGAAAATATTGATGGTAGGAAACGGTTAAAATGACATTTGCATGATAATAGCCAAAGGCTTGCAGATGCGGTCAACTAATTCGGGATCAAACCGTGGGCTAGCCGAACAAGCTAGACAGGTAGAATTCTCATGATTAGGTTTAAAGTGAACCGGAGAATCAGGAACATTGGTGCCTACCAATAATTGTGAACGAATGTAGCGCTTACAATATCCCATTCGCTTCATGTAACACATTGAATCAAATGTGCATAGAATATATAGCGAATATATATATATATATATTAGAGTACCATTAGGTACACTAATTGTGAATTTTCTAATCTCAACAGTGCTGGACTCTTCGTTGGCTAGTTTTTCCCCTGCCTCCTAGTGAGCTGTTCTTTGTTCAAATCCGAACCTCACGGGAGAAATGATCTGGTTCGGATGAGCATATTATTGTCATTAGTAGAAATAGTTAACTTTGGATAAAATTGAATCAGTTAAAACACAGTCTATTTTCCCTTGGGCAATCGTGCTCATATTTCTCATGAATCATGAACTAAACTGTTTTTTTTTCTGAACGTTCGAACCTGAATTCTGGCCTTTGTGGTCGAAGTGAAAATGAAACAAACATCCCGGCGAGATCCGGATGTGACTAATTGGGCTTGTTGATTGGTCACGCTCGTTTCACATGTATTCGTTAAACTGGATCTGTTGAATATTCCGCCATCAAACACATATGGATTGACTAAGCGAAAAGGTTTCTCGGACTGACCTTACTGTCATAGGAACATTGTCAGCGAAACCTTCCGATTGACCCATTGTGAGCTTTTCCTGTCTGTTCTTACTGTGCTAATCGTATTTTGACTTGTTCCCATTCAGTTCTGTCACGCTGGATTTAACTTTAACGAGTGAGGCAAATTGTTCTCTAACAATCCACGTGTGAATCAATACATTCTTCCGATGTTAACTTTGCACATTAGATACTGCTAACCTTAACAACTTTGAGGGAATGCCACCTTTCGGAATGTGATATAGCAGTAGTATCTGTATCTGTAGTATCTGTAATGTTATTCAACCAAATTTATAGTGATCAATAGCCCCTAACCCACTAACATAATATAGTACAACAGCAGCAATTAACATGTGCATTACTTAAGAACGGGTGTGTCCGCAAAAAGCTAAGCTAACCAAAGTTCAAGTATTCGAGTGAATATACCAAGGATTACCAGATACGCATACGTGATGAGTGGCAATCACCACAAAACTGGTGGTACACATCCGGGGCAATGTTTGATGTCATTCGGGCACTTCTTATAGCAACGTGTGTAACCGTCGTGGTAGAGCTATAACATTCCGGCACGGAATGGCCTGCACTAGATTCGGTGTTCGCATTAGAGGATACTATTTCACACCGTCGTAAGCAAATACAGACCAAGTGCTCGCTCGGAGTGTACTATTCCTGTTAAACCTACTTCAAGTCCCGACCACGTCTCAAATAGAGTTGGTCCATCTCTCAGGACATTTACCAAGGATTAATAGCTTTAAGATGAATTTGTTTCTTAAAACACAAAACCGGGAAATACGATTATTCCAGTTCTAGGCTTGAGGTCTTCAAGACGAATTTGACGTACACCAGCCTCGTTTACCGGTCACTTTAATGAGTCCGGTTGAACAACCACCGAGGGAAAACACACGTGTGCATGAAGTTTGTGCAGGTCATTTATCACAGATCAGTTACCACTTTAAATCGGTATAACTGTGAACTTTCCACTTGGGTATAAGATCTCGATTTGTTCTATTTTGATAACCGAATATGATTCTCCTTGTTTAGGCTGTTATATCTAAGAGGAGGTTGTCAAAAAACGTGATTTCGGTTTAACTTCCAACTAAAGTGGAACAGTTATTTCTAAATGTATCCTACGATTAACTGTGAGACAGCGGTTAACACACAGCAATCGATGATTGGAGTCCTCTTACATATATTTGCTGCTCGCGAAATTTTGTGGAGATGACTTGGTGACACTGAATTGCTATGGTCGATTGAATTTCATGGACATTATTTATATGATGGGATCACAATTAAAAACACAATCGTACAATTGTATTCCATACTCTGCGTTTCTCGGTCATCCCTTCTTTTCAAACTTGAATCTTTTGGTACTCCAAAACAACTGCCCTCATGGCTTGTCGACTATTTCACACAAAACTTCTTTGTGTTAATTCTGGTGCTCTTCTATCTCCATATCTTTTTTCTACCCTTATTAGTGATCTTTCGGTCCCACCCCCTGCGCACATCCAAAAGTAAGCTGATGACGTTGTTTTGTCTCAGACAGTTTCATCTCCTTCGGAATTTCGTTCTTTTCTTGAAAACCTATCCCACATTCAACAGTTTCCTGACCAATCTGGTCTCAGTCTTAACATATCTAAATGCGTAGAGTACATTTTCAGTCTTTTCCGCTCCTCGTTAACAACGGACTCTGCTACTCTGAACGGTAAACCTGTATCCAGAATGACCTCAGTCAAGTACCTGAGTGTCACTATCGATAGCAATCTTTATTGGTCTACACATATTTACAACTGTATGAGAAAACTGAGACTCTGGTCTTTTCAATTATGCAAACTCAGGCAATTCCAAACCCCACAGTCAGTCCTGTTATCTTTCGTTCATCAATGCGTTCTACCTATTCTACTCTATTGCTCCTCTGTAGTGTTTCCCGGTCTTTTAAAGCAATACTTCAAAACAATTCACCGTGGTTTGATGATCATCAGTCGTGTATCATTATTCCCGATCGATTCATTAATCACAGACCTCATTGATGATCACATCAATTCTTGTGTTAAATTTACCAATAAGAATTTATATGGCCCTGTTTATCCACTACATCCTGATCTATCATCTTGTCATTCCCATCCGTTCACACACTCCCTGTACCCTACCTGGACTGACTCCTAATCAAAAAGGAACAGGTTGCAAGTGAACTACTTCAATAGTTTGGTACATGAAACGGATATCAGCGACACTGATCACCTTTCGTGTTATATTATTATTATTATTATTTCATTTCGCATGACGAATAGTGTACATTTTCAAATGAAATACAAGCATACGTGCTTACACAAGTTATACAACTACAAATACAAATACTCGAGCGACTTGGTGATTCATGATTTCCACATACGATGCAATTGAAATAGTTCTGTCATGATAGAGTAATCTAAACAAGAGCTTTCCCCTGTTAAATTCTTTTCCACCTGTGCGTCTGGTTGAAAATTTCTTCTGGCCAAA